ATACAACTTGTACTCTCTTATAACGCCTCTCTCTCGCTAACACTCTCTCGCTTACTCTCTTGCCCCTAACTGTTTCTCTCACACTCCCTTTCTTCTTCCCTATAATATTTTTCTGGCACAGTGGTTTACATCTTGCTAATTATTTGCCAAAATGTCTGATATTATCTGTTGCATTAAAAAATGCAATACACTTGTGTCAGTTGACCAAGAAAGCGTCCACTGTTGGCTGTGTGATAACATTGCGCAGGGTTTAAGTCAGCTACCATTCCGGATGCTTTGGGTCGTTCTGACTCTGGCTTACACCACTGTTGTAACAGATGTCGTGAGACCCAGAAGGAAATTAGATCTTTTATACGGCAGACTAAAAATGGGTTCGGTCAGGTATTGGTTGCTTTTCGAAAAGCTAACGACCTGTTATTTACAATTGTTGAATGAGTCTCCTAAGCGCAAAAAAACGTCCCATTTGCCGCCAGCGGTTACCGCCAGTAATACAAATAACTCCCTTCTCCCTCCGTTGATGTTCAACAGTCTCCTTCATTGTCACCACTGCCGTCTACCACTCCAATCGTGACGACACCGGTAACAGCCCGTATTTCGGATCCCGAAAATGTTGCTAAGGTGGGTAGGCTTTTGTCCGATGAGCAGTCCGAGGTAGTCGCACTGGACCCTCCCGTGCCAAATGTTCTACAAGCCCAAAAGAATGTACCCGTGACTCACCAGAGGAACTTAGGGTCCGGATTACCGGCACCCACTGGTAGCGTGGGTAAGCCACCCTCCTCGCCAAAGCCCTTGGTTGGTATTCCTCTAGAGAAACACATTTTCGTTTCCCGGCTTTCCCCTGATACGTCCGAATCGGACATCTTAGCTTACATTCAAGCAAAACTTAAAGTCGATATTAGGGTGGAAAATATCACGAAATATAAATATTCTTACGCTAGGAACGTGGCATCTTTCAAGATCCGTGTTCCTCAGATGGCTTTTGACGATATCTGTTCGACCAATTTCAGGCCGCAATATATTTTCGTTCAAGAACATCAGCTTAAAAATAAAAAAAAGAAAAAAGTCGCCCTTTAGGAGTAAAGCTTCCACAAGTAAACGGTCCTGCCAACCTAAAAAACTAGCATCATCCATAATTCTTTCGTACCAGAACACAAGAGGCTTACGCTCTAAACTTTCTAATTTGTTCTCGGTAAGCTTCTCGCTTCCATCCCAGGTCATTGTGTTTACCGAAACCTCGCTAACTCCAGAAATTCTTAATTCTGAAGTTTTCCCCAGTAGGTACACCATATATAGGCTTGACCGATCCCTCGGAAATGGTGGTGGAGTCCTAATTTCAGTGGACTCTAATCTCGTTTCCGAGGTGATAAATCTTCAAACTGGAGACTTAGAATTTATCACAGTTAAAATCTCATTGTCTAGGTTAAATTTATATATCACTTGTTCTTATACTCCGCCTAAGTCCGATTCCTTGACATATGAGCGGCACCTAGCAGCTATTCAGTCTGTCTTCTCAATGTTATCGGACATGGATCAGCTGGTGGTGTTGGGTGACTTCAGCCTACCCCAGGTGGCTTGGTCCATGAACGATAACACCTTAGCTTTAACACCTATGTCGCATCACGACTTTACTGCTGGCATGTTAGACATGTCACTGGCTCAAATTAATCATATAGGGAATTCTTTAGGTCGTTTGCTCGATCTGTGCTCTCTGTGCTTCTCTCTAATACGGACACCGTATCCATTTACAGAGCTCTACCTCTCACACACCCTGAAGATCCTTATCATCCAACATTAGATCTTACGATCGATACGGGGCTATGCACCAAGCCTAAGAACAATTACGCTGATAAAAAATTCGATGTTTTCGTAAAGGCGACTTTAAAAAAATTAATAACTTTATTTCAGAATTTGACTGGTCCGATTTGTACGCACGCACCGATATGTCGACTGCTCTAGATATATTTTATAGTACATTAAACCTAATTTTTGATCGCTTTGTTCCGTTGCGGTATCCGGCTATGGCGGATAAACCCCCTTGGTATACAAGGCACCTTTCTAATCAAAACAATATCAAATTAAGATTATTTAAAAAATACTTAAGAACTAATAGCAATGAATTTTTCGTGCATTATATGGTGGCTCGGTCTAACTTTACCGTGCATAACACTCAGTGTTATCAGAACTATTTAACTCGATGTAAGAACCAGTTTCCCCTGGAACCCCGGAACAGTTCTATAGTTTTGTTAACACTAAGCGTAAATCTAAAACCTTTCCGTCTTTGCAAACTTATTAAAACTTAATGGCTCCAAGTGCAAAGCAATAACCTTCTGTCGCCTAAGACCTAAAGCTGCCACTTATACTTTGCATGGTGTAGCTCTGGAAAGAATTAATGCAGTTGAAGATCTTGGCATCCTACTCGATGCAAAACTTAAGTTTTCCGACCATATTTCCTCTATGGTTAATAAAGCTAGAGGAGTTCTTGGTTTCATTAAAAGGTGGTCAAAGGAATTTAACGACCCCTATGTTACCAAAACACTTTTTCTTTCTTTGGTTCGTCCGATTCTGGAATATGGATCATGTATCTGGGACCCCCACTATGGGGTTCACCAGTGCTTTATTGAATCCATTCAAAAGAATTTTTTAATATTTGCTCTCCGTGGTCTCAACTGGGATGCAAATATAAACCTTCCCTCTTATAAAAGTAGACTGTTACTAATTAATTTGCCATCCCTCGCTAATCGTAGACGATGCTTGTGGTCGTCTTTATACAAAATCTTCTTAAGGGTGAAATTGATAGCCAGACCCTTCTAGGCCGCTTGAATATCCATGTACCCCTTAGGATTACTAGAAACTATATTCCTCTATCCTTAGAGCATTGTAGTTCGAACTTTGCCCAACATGAGCCATTTCTATGTTCAAACTACAATGATCTTTAAAAAATTACTTCTAACTCTTCTCCTAACACTTTGAAAGTTTCGATACTAATCCATTTAGCACAAAACTAACTTTCCTCGTATTTTTCCTAATCCACTCGGATCTATCCCCGTGCACGTCAACTCGCTTCTCGTAGCTCTTGCTGTTTCCACCAGTACGATTTTTGGGGCATACAGAAGCCACATGTCCGTTTTCACCACACTTAAAATATTTAATTTTTGATCGATCCTTCACTCCGGCCGTGCTGCTCATGCTATAACTCCTTTCTGTTGGGGCTGATGCTTTCTTCATTCGAGAGCGGCATTCTGCATATTTGTGGCCATCTTTTTCACAAAAATGGCACTTCATCTGCGACTGCATTCTTGTTGTCTTCTTATCCGGACCCGTCGAATATCCGTCCTCCTCGTTGTTACACTTCTTGAAAGCGTAAGCCTGTAGCAGCTGCTGCAGCTCATTACGAGTGGTCACATTCGTTGTATACAGCCAACGCAACAAATTATTATCAATTTGAGCCATGTGAGCTAACGCTACTGATACCGCAATCTCCTCCAAATTCTGTGCCACTTAGAGAGCAATAGGGTGACAATGCGACTGCCGTACTCAGCGAAACTCTCTCCAGTTTTGGGACGTCCGTTCAAAATGTTCATCAGTATGGCAGAAGTTGTTTCAATGCCCACGAAACGTTGAATGAAGAATATTTGGGACAGCCATTGCCATGCACTGCCTTCTAATGCTTTGCTTAACGCAATCACAAGCGCACTGACTTCAACAGCATTATCCGAAAAAATTAAGTCCACTGTAGTACAACAAGCTGATGCATCTGCTCCAGCGGTGTCAGGGCAAAACTTGGGTAGAGTCACGTGGAGTGCTCTCCCGTCTATTGCCGGTGCTCTTGGTGCCTGCATGGATTTTATTATTTCCATTAAACTGCGATATTGCTCTTCTAAGGCTGCCATATATACTCTAGAGCTGTCCTCTTTTGGCGGAGCCAATCCCACTTCTGATGTCGGCGGCAAGGGTTTGTCGGTCGGTGGCAAGGGTATGTCGGTCGGTGGCACTTTAGATAATTGATGCAACTGCACAGCGAGTTCTGATCGGTTCGATTACACAAGCTCAACTGCCCCAGCATACCCGCTCCCGGCATAAACTCACTCGAATCGAGCGTATGCAGCCATCTACTCAAGACTCTTTGTATCTTACCATTGGACCTCACTCAGCAGCAGAGCGTCTCTGCCTCTGCTGCCGTGATTTCGCTCAATATCAGCTAGTAAAGCAGAAGCAGGGAATTCCCCGAATTCCCAAATTACCAGAATGCTGCCATTACTAGGAATCACACTGCGACATATACTTTATAGGGTCAGAAACGCTTCCTTCTACCTGTTACATACTTTTCAACGAATCTAGCCATTAGTCAATCAACCAATTTGTTGCACATATTCCAAAAATAATGGGGATGTCACATCCTAATATCTTAAAAACTTTTTTGAAGTGAAAGAAAAAAATATTCCGGGTAAAAAAGACTTACAATAATAATGTGGCCAAGTTTTAAGAAAACTGGTATTTAACTACCGATCAATCTATTGGTTACAGAATTTTAATAAAAAAACGAAGTTATAGAATAGATTTAATTATTAAATTTAATTAAGTTTAAAATTCCCAAATTGGAAAACTAGGCTTAATAATAATGGACCTGTAAAGAAAATTAAAAACATTTCATTACAGATCAACACGAAAACCTTGGATTATAATTATAAGTAAGAATAAAATAGCTCGTTGAAGACATACATTTAAAAACACTTAAGTAGATACAACAATATATTCAATTGCGTCGAAGCTTGCATATAATTTTCATAGGCTCAAACAACCACCATTAGGCCAATGAGGCTGAATTGCCTAAAAACCATGGGATAATAAAGATATCTTATGAAATAATTAATTATTTTCTTAAATGCAATATATAAGTAAACGTAAACAAATCTGAGAACACAACTACAAATTGGTGGGTAAAAAACCTGAAAACCCAAAAAGATAAGAAAACCTCAAGTAACTTGTAGGAAAACTCTTACCTAAAAACATGAGAATAATCTTTATTGGCACTTTCGTTTCCTTTAAGTTGACTTTTAACTGTTGAAACCAAATTTGTTGAATAGTTGTTTTGAAACTCTTCGTATTTTTCTTTAATATTATCCCTTAGTTGATGATATCGGCCTGCTATTCCCTGATAGTCATGTAGTTTTTCCATTTTTAAAATAAAATATAGTTTTCGAGTATGTTTTATTTAAAACTAGTAAGAATTAACATTTTTAGTTTTGAGTATGTGCCACCCAACCTAATGCAAAGCTAAACACGAACACGGTTTTGATTGTAAGTCATTCGCATATGTTAAATGTTAACTACTTATTTATCTGCGCATGCGCCAAATCGTAAGCAATTTTAAATATATATATATGTATGTTTATGCAAATTAATCACGACCATTTTTTATGTGTTTTATATCACCCATATTGAGAAGCTTGGACAAAGAGTTTTTATTGAAAAGGAAAGTAATAAAACTTTAAAACTGATTTAAAGTCATTATATTTTAAATATTTATTTTAATTTTAAACAAAATATTTTTACAAATGTTTTCAATTGAATAGTGACTTACACTAAGCCTACAAAACAACAAAATATGAAAATCTTAAAAATTTTGAATTTGTTTATAGTAGTATTTATTTCTTAAAAGTAATGAATAATCTTATAATATATCTGAATAATAATAATCTGAAAAATGTGGGCGGCATATTTTTGTAAACATTTTTTTGGAACTAGTCCACCAAAGGCGTGAGAACAATGCGAACTCGAATGCTTGCAACCATTTCTTAAGAGATGTTAGTCTGAACTCAAGAAGAAAATCAAGTTTAATTGGATCGTCTCCAGAGCTCTGGCAGTCAGAAAAAGACAAGGAATAGCTTCATAGGTGTCATGATGGAACAGAATTGTGGGGCTTAGATTTCAGGTTTTAAAACGACAAACGGAAAGGCTAACGGGAACCGAAGCCCATGGTTAAATCGACTCGCCAATTGATCATGATCATGACTATGTGTATTTAGTTTATAGGACTGGAAGCATTTTCTGTTGCCTGCTACATATTTTTCAATAATAATTTGTCCATTGATAATAGAATAATTGGAGGAAATATAGAAGAAATTAATGGAAACATTCGTTTGACTATTTGTATCATGCTGCCACTCCATTTTGTAGAGCTGTGTAGAGGAGACAGGAGTTACCTAATCTCGATAAATCGCTGGGAATAAACCGATATAAGACACCAGTCTACGTTTTATTTTGATCAGCATGCTTTCCTCAGATAATAGACCGAACAAGTCCTTGATTAGAGGTAAAGTAAAGCTTTTATCCAAATACTGCCCTTGCTTTCCAGTAATGAAAATACTTTCCTTATGTTCATTCCGGTAATTTTACAACTTCAACTGCCTTCAGGTAAGCATTCAATTCATCTGCATGCGTTCCACGGGGAATTATTGGCAACGTCTGCCTGAAATCGCCCCCAACAATATCATCAAGCCGCCAAAGAGGTTGTTATTTCGCCGAAGATCCTTCAGTGTGAAGTTAAATGCTTCAAGTGATTTCTTAAGTGCCATTATGCCCTCATCCCAAACAATGAGCTTGCATTGCAACAATAATTTTCCCATTGCACTGGATCGGGAAATATTGCATATTGGAGAATCAATTTTGTCTAAATTGAGTGGCAACTTTAGCCCAGAATGTGTAGTACGACCGTCCCCTAGAAGAGTCGCCGCAATTCCAGATGATGCTAATGCCAAAGCTATGTCACATCTTGATCGAATAGTGGCCAAAATTAGCGATTTAACAAATGTTTTCCCTGTTCCTCCAGGTGCGTCCAGGAAGAACAGACCACCAGTATTGTTGTCCGTTGCTTGCATTAATGTTTAGTATAGTTGTTTTTGCTGCGAAGGCACATTATTTCGAACGAACTCCTGCAATCTATCAACATTGTTTTGCAGCTCCCAATTTAATTCTTGGTTGAATGCATCGTGCATCGATTTGGCGCAATCATACCTACTTCAATCAGTAGCTTGTTTGCAATAGTCAACCATTGATCCTCAATCAGAATCAGACCTTCAGATTTCATCGGTTACTTGGATGTTGGGATTATTCGTTTGAATTCGCAAGCGATGCAAGATATCTTCACATATGTCGTCTTGTATTTGTTCCATAACTGAATTGGTTGTCGAGGAAAACATGTGGTGATGATAATTACGAACAGCGTTCTTGTTTGGTACGCATTTGATGAAACAACTGAATCCGCAAGTCTATGATCCCAATGAGATCTGCCTCACAAATTGCAAAGAAGCTAGTCAATGTTGTCGATGGTGGTCTCTCAGCTCGTGTTGCCGCATTATCCTCAGTGAAGTAAACTCTTTGGCCATTTTCCAAATTCACTGCTAAATGTACAACTGTGGGATATCTTTCATGAATTTGAAATGACAATAATCACCACAGTGCTAATGACGATTAGTACTGAATTATCTGCCTATTTGAAAATGGCGGATTTCGTCATTCGCATTTTCCGATGCAATACCAAACACAGCCATGTCGCTGCCTTTTGTGACGCACTTGCACAAATATTTGATTGACTTGGACGAATGACTACTCTCAAGGTTTGCATATACTTTGAAAATTCGGTATAGCAGCGGGCAATATGGTACAATGAATTCATTTCTGATCTCAACCTCTTGATTTTGAACTTTAACTTTGATAGTTCGACCACTTTCTTCTTTTAAACGCCGGAGATAAACTGGATATCCATGGTTCCGTGTGACTGTTTCAGCAACTAACGGTCGCGGATATCGTTTTGTGTATTTTCCATCATCCATGCAAGGCGATAATGGATTTAATGCACCATGCACCATCTGTGTCGTCACAATGTCATGTAGATGGGGATCAGTGACTGGATCAGGAATTTCAGCTGATATGAATGTAATTTGAATGTAATTTGTTCAGCAACCAAATTAGGATATGAGCATGAGGTAGTCCACGCTTCTGGCGTCCCTCCGAGTGTATACAAGTTATGGCCAGACATGGCCAGAGGGGGGGGGGTATTCTCCCGGATATTACCTAGTTAATGTTATCTGCATCCTCGCCTTTTCAATTCCAGGTCCCTTCGTCCTAGTCTTTCACAGCTCAATCTTTATTTTCCATCAAGCTACTTTAAAATAGAACAGTAATCGATTTTATACGTTACAATGGTTTTATTGTTGCAAATAATAATTGTCTGCTGGCTTTGGGGGTACAAATCGAAGTAAATCTAAATCATAATTTTGGCTGGCTTGTTGACTGCATAACGCTGGCAGAGCGGTTGCAGCAGTCCGATGCTGACAGCAGCGGTTTTGGGGATTTTGGGCCAAAGTGTTGCTATGCTCCAGGTGCTGGTGTTGCATTTCCGTCCGTGTGAAGGGGTAGGGGTAGCTATGGCTGAGACAGCTAGCGATCGGTCAGTGCTCTTCCATTGTCGCGCTGCTGATAGCAGCGGTTCTGGCTATTTGGGCCAACGTGTTGCTAACCTCCAGGTGCTAGCTCTGCAGCTACTGCTGAGGCAGCTAGCGGGCGGTCCATTCTCACGCTACTGCCGTTGCAATTCTGCCGGTGCAATTCTGCCGTTGACGTTCTGTCGCTGCGCTGTCGCTCTGACGCCGCTGACTTTTGGTGTCGTCACTACCGCCGCTGTGTCTCTGCTGGTCGCCGGTTGGCTGAGTGGGGTGATGAGGAAAGTCTCGGTGTCTAGTATCCGGGTCGAGAGGCGGTGAAGGGAAGGGGGCGCTTAGGCGGTGTTAACTCCTCCCCACAGATTATAAGGCTTTGGTTGCGGTTTCCAGAGTATCCTGCGCTTCCAGGTTTGCAGGAGGGTCCCGCAGTTTAGGGATTTCTTTGGTCGACGTTATCTTCTCCCAAACGAAGAATACCGTTGTCATAATGGAGAGGGTTATGACTATCTCCACTGAAAAGGATATCCAAATCTTTTCTGACATTACAGATAACTTCTTTAGGTTTTCCATGCTGAATTCATGGACATATTTCAGCGATAGCTCGTAACCCGTTGTTTTTACCTGGGTTAGCACGGCGGGTATTGCCATAAGGTGTGTTGATGAGTAGCTGCTGTAGTTCCGGTCGCCGATTGAGATTGTTTCGTTGTCAAATTGTATGACGTACGAGCGCTCTAATTTGTACTTCTTGGTTGGTGTGGATATCGTTCCATTGAAGTTGGTTAGGAAGAAAATTCGACGGCCTCAACAACGTTTTGATAAGGGAGGCTGTCCACCTCCGCTAGTATTGTGTCGACCTCGTCGTCGTCCAGGAGATTCGTGTTGACCACTCCAGTCTTTCCTAGTTGGCAGGCCTTCAGTATGTCGTTGACCTGGTCCGCTATTATAATTGCTTTGTGAAGAACGGCCGTCGTCAAACAACTTAGTATTGATGCGAATCTGCTGATTGTTGTTTCTCGCCAAACTGTCCACCTCTTTCAAGATGGCATTCCAATCCGATTTGTCCGGTGATCCCGGGACCCACTTCCAGCCTGATCCTAGCCAGTCGATTGAGCGTTGTCTTCGTATTGATGCGCCAACCATGTTCGAGATTCCCTCTGAAGCGTGTTGCAGATAGTGGCCAACCAGTGCGTTGATACGTTAATCGGTTACCACCATAGCCTCGTTTGCTACCTGGTCGATGAGTTGCTGCATGTGGCCTAGATTGATGACGTGAGCCAGTTTGAAAACGCCATTGGTCCTCCAGACGGTACCTTGTTGCAAGGGGACAACCAGTGCATCATATTTGAATAGGTGGGGGTTTGTCGCGACGTAGATTGTGGAGGCACTTGAAACGTCGGCAGGGGATTACGTGCACATGAAATTGTAAATTTTTATAATAAAATAGTTTCTTTGTCTTAAGCCTAATGTTTGTGTTGGTGTTCTTGGTATTTTGTTGTATTGTTCGAATGTTCTTATTACAAAAAAAATTTTATTTAGTGTGGTTCAATGTCATTTTGATTAAATGTTCCCGCTTTGGAGATCTTTTCGATTACGTTAGCGGATTCGGGGCTCGCTTTGGGGATCTTTTGTTTACGTTAGCGGACTGGATGTTTACAGCATCCGTTTGATTTGGGCTGCGTGAAATTGATCTGGGTGGGAATGATTCTGAGGCCTGGTTGACAGAAATAGCTGACCACGGATTTATCTCGGGTCTGTCAGAGTTATTTGGAAATTGGCTCTCGGCTCAAAGTTGTTTATAAATTGGGTAAGAGCCCCTAAATAATGAGTCAT